TTTGGATTCCCTGCTTTGCTCGATCTGTTTGCTACGGATCCGGTGAGCGACCTCGATCTGGAGGATCTGTGTTGTTTTTTTTTTCACTATGGAATTTTGAAATAATTTCTGTTTTTGTTTGATTTTCTGTGGTTTTAGGGTTTCGGGTTCATCTTGAACTATTAAAGCACTTCTTAAGAAATTTCAGTTGCGATTGGGAATATGTCACTTTACTTTTTCCCTAAGCGGAAGCAGTATTGTGAATGAAGGAAAGCTTAGAATTTTACGAAATTGACTAAAATTTGTGGTTTATTGTTTTTATAATTTATTATTTTTCAGAATTAAGATTATGTAATAGCTATTTTGTTGGTAGTAGGGGTTGAATTGGACATAAGTTATGAAGCTGCATCTAAAGTAGAAACTTTTTTTTTCGTTAAGGCTTTAGTTACTGTCAAGTGCCAACCTACAAAAATTTACCCAAAAAAGACAGAAAGTTGCGAACTTACTATGACAAACTAACTGGAAAGAGCCGAGGTTTTGGATTTGTGACAATGTCTACTGTTGAGGAGGTTGAGGCAGCTTGCCAACAGTTTAATGGTTATGTAAGTATGTCGATGGAAATGGAACTGTTGTTTTGTTTTCAATGTTTTTTTATGATAAATATATGGAATTCACTATGATTTTATGTTCTACATGTAATTACAGTAGTAACTACTAAGTAGTTGTTTCCTTGTTCATTGTAAAGTTAAATATATTTTCCATGAAGTATCTAGGTTATGCATATTTCAACCTTTCTGTTTAACTGAAATCTTATTGGTTGTTATGTAGATTCTATTAGTTTAGCTACATGAAAGGATAAAATAAAGTTTATAGTACAGTGATTTTTCCTCTCCAAGAATCACGTTTACATCTGATGCTATAGTTAATAGCTATGATCCAATTATATGTGTAGGTCACATGCTCTTTCGTCATTCATTTGCATCTAATGTTGTATTGCATCAACTTAACCTCGAAAAGCCACTGGAGAGCAAAGAACCAAACCAATATATGTTTTAGTAGCTTGTTTCTAACACTATTATTAGTTTGTCATGCATGAAGATCCTAAGAACTAGACAGTTGTTTCTAAGTAATCCTTCGTGCATGATGTGCTAATTCTTTATTACTCATTTTGTGTCATTCACTTTGGTATGTATTAGGATGACAAAGAAAGGGAAACGAATTGCATCTCAGTTGAGATCACATGTTGTTTGGAATCGTGATATGGACTCCGCTTTAGCTAATCGTGATATGCACACTTATAGTTGTGATTTGCCTTTGTAGTAGATATTATTTCTGTTTTAGAGCGTATTTTGTTTCATGAACTAATTGATGCCAAATTTTTTAATGTAGGATCCAATAGAACTAATTGATGCCAAATTTTTTAATGTAGGATCCAATAAGTTCTCTGAGACATGAGTTGGAAGCATAGGAGCAAAAGGAGGAAAAGACTTTGAAGGATAAATAGATGATTTTTGTTATGGTTTCTTTTAGTAGTTTATATTGTGCTAATTTAGCTTGTTGTAGAAAATCATGGTTATCTACTACCTATAGTACGTTATGTTTTAAATGAAGACTTATTGCGTAGCCTAGAGCTTTTTATGTAGATTGTTCGCTATACTCTTTTGTGTCGTTAAGCCTTTTATCATGACTAATTTTTAAAGTAGTACTCTTGTTATTTTGGAGATTGAAGGTCAATGTGGTAGTGGATAAAACCATGAAAAAATGCTATTATAATGAATATTTTGGACATTATTATTATTGTTTGTATTCTCTCGTATCGATTCATGAAGGATGAGATGTTTGCATGAGTATTTATAATTGCTATCGAGGTGATTAATTTGGTTTTGAATCACTACTCAAAGTTTTATTTGTGCATGACAGGTCTTTCTTCCTTTTAAAAATGCTTGGACTAAGTAGCATGGTACTCATATATGTTAACTATATGTATATGTCATAAATTGTTCACAGAATGATCCTCCTTATCTCTGAAATCTAAGTTCATGTATAATAAAGTGTATCCAAACATTATATTTCAAATCTTTAATTTCAAATCCTTGCATTTTGTAAAGGCATCCAAACAAAAGATTCTATCAAATCATGGATTTCAAATCCTAAATTTAAAATCCTTTGATTTTAAATCAACATTCCAAATCCAAATCTTAGTTCCCAAACGCAACCTTAAGGGGTGTTAGTCAATTGGGACATTTTCATGCAAAATAAGATAATTGTTAAAATGGAATAATTTTTCGCTAGTGGGATATTTTAGTGGGATAAATAGGAACAATTTTGTGAAGCGAGATATTTTGATAAAATAACGTGTGATAAATTTTTATAATAATGAAATATATATTTATGCATTTTGAAGATATAAATATTATTTATGTATCTTAAACTTACTATTATTGATTGATAATTACTTACAAGAATGTTCTTTACTATTAAATAACTTTTGGTTAGACTATAAGATATTGACAATTATTATTATAATGATAGTCTAATGATGGTGATAACCATAATAGGAAAGAAGTAAAGAAAAAATATAAAAATAAAAAATAACAAACTAAATATGAGTTCTAGTTTTTTACCACCTAGTTCCAAGCTAAAACTTGGAATAATTTGAGACACTAGAACTCTCATTTTTGTATAGAAAAATAAAAAAAGTAGGATAATTTTGTACCATTATCCCAATTCTAGTTTTGTTAGAGTTCTACTTGACTAACACTGTAAAATTTTATTCTAGTTTTAGTTCTATGTGACTAACACCTTAAAAATTTATCCCATATATTATCACAGTTCTAATTTTAAGTTCTAGGTGACTAACCCCTACTAGAGTACATCTCGCCAAACACAGGATAGGATTCTGAAATTATTTGGTTTAGACTCAACCATATAGAAATCTTAATATGATAAACCTTCGACTAAAATTTTCAATTCAACGTCTCAGCAGAAATCACAAATAAATCTGAGATTATTATTCATATCCCAAAATTCGAAGCTGTTTTTGATTGCATTGCCATTTAGTCCAACGACTCTGCAAGTCTAAAATGGGCCAAGCCTTGCAAACATTCATCTCGGCCAGACAACGCCACAAAATCAAGGTGGAGCCCACTTGAATAAACCATGGCCCCACAATTCTTGGCGTGAATAGATCCAGCCAGCTAATATCTTCAGGTCGCCGCACAAGAACGTAATTACCAAATTCTTGAGTCTTGGTCTACAAGCCTGAGATTTGCTCCCACCTACTACGCCGCCTCAGCCGTCCAATTTTATTGCCCAAATCCCATCGTACGGTTGAAATTCATCGAAGAAACCCGCTGTTTACCACGTTGGCACGTTTCTGAACCTGCATTCTCCCAGAAAACAGGAACAGACTGGGCACCAATGAAATGAGCCCCAAATAAACCCATGTCTATTGTGCTCTAATTGGTGGGCCCATTTACAGTGGGGGTTGAGTATAGTGGGCCCACAAGTTTTGGGTTCCGAAAGAAAAAAAGAGAAAGAATATGCTATTGCCTTTTCCTACGATCTCTGAACCTGTCCGATCTCTGCATGCACTTTTCTTGGAGGCCAAGTCGAAAAAGAAACATAATTAATTCGTCCGCTAAATACACTCATGATTTTTAACTTGTACTTCTTTTGGTGATTCATTTGTACAAATATGCATGTACTCTATGCAATACTTGTTAATCTTTTGGCAAATTTGTTGGCAAAGGAAAGAGCGAGGGGAGGCTACATAGATTAAAATAAAAATAAAGTACAGTACATAACAATTAGTTCATAAGAACCGTTCCAAAGCTATAAAAGTAATTAAAAAAACAAAACATACAAAGAAAATAAAACTACGGGACTCTAGTCTTCCAAAACTTGAAAGTGCCTAGCACTAATCATTTGGTAATTCATTTGTACAAATATATGCATGTTAAAAGTATGGATCTTCTCAAATCTTCTGTAAACAATTTTGATGAAGGAAGTGGAGAATAAATTATTGTGTGTTCCCAAATATCGATTTATGAGTGAAAAGTAATTAATATTGTTAATGTTGGCGCAGAAACTTTGAAGCAATATTTCATATTTATAAAATAAGTAAGATTTCATATTTACGAATTTTCTAATACATACCTTTTGTGTGTTTTCTAACTATTAAGACATGTGATTATCTTTAACATAATACTATAATGAATTCTTAAAAAAGAAATAATTCTTTGAAGCATGTGTTGCAATATATGGAAGATAAGCTTGAGGACCAAGCAATAAATTAAGGTGTATCTTTTCCTTGTCTTCCTGGTGTATTACAAACTATATACAAAAATCATAAAAGTCAATATTTATAGCTTTTGACGTGGAAAATAAATTATTTTTTCTTACTTCAGTTGAGCCTATCTTTCAATGCAAGTGATCGGTTGATCTAAACCGTCATGATAATTAAAAATATCTATCTTCGAGAAAAAAAATCCTTAATGTAAATTATATATCAATAGAAATTATCAACATATACTATACTAATAAAGTAAAAACCTAGTTGCATGTTTTTGCCACTTGGCAAATTCTAAGAGCTCTCACATTTCACAACTAATAATTCTTTTTGACTCATTTTTTCATTATCTCATCTTAGTGCACTATACTTCATATCTTGGAAATTCCTAGTCCTCGTCTTTTAAATTTCTATAAATCATATATTTTATTCTCTATTTTAAAAAAGAAAAAACATTTTTATCCGTTATTTTTATCCAAAGATCTAATATACATATAACAATATTAACGTAATCTCATACATCGTAACAACTAATATAATGAATATATATTTACAGCCATATCCTACGAGTTTTTATCATAGGCGTGCGCGAACTCCTAAAACGGCGGAGTGAGAATAGAAGTAATTTATGGACGCTCTTAAACAGCGCCCTAGTGTAGGGTTTCTAGAAGACGCGCGTTCCTACTTATGCTCGCATTACCCATCAAAACCGCTCCTATACCAAGTTTTATTCCTCCTCTACGCCCTCTCTCCGCTCGTCCAATTTATTTTCAGAATTTTCACAAAAAAATTAAAATAAAAAGAAAAACGATGCGGGTCGGTGCTTTCTTCTTCGATCGGGCTTCGAAAGCTCTAAAGAATCCGACGTTCACGAAGCTCGTCGTCGTTTTCACCGTCAGGTCTTCACCTTTCTCTTGCTTTACAATATTTGATCTTTTGGTTTATCTGTATTTGCGTACGTCTGATCGCTTGAAACCCTAGACTGGATACTGCATTTCTATTTTTGGAAATTATACTTTCTGATGTGGAATTTCTTGCTTTTTAGAGGATTTTTAGCGTTTAATTCCTTGGATCTTCACGGTACCGAGAGCTCACACGAGAGTTATAGACACGACGAGAGGGTTTGCGGGAAAAATATAAGTGAAAATTGAATTTCCGCTAGTGATGAAGTTTTTCAAACCCTAGAATTAATGTTACTAACCAAAAGGTGTTAGGATCCAAGCAACTTGGGGAACCCACCCTTAAAAGCTAGCTGTTAAGAGGGAAGAACCAAGCTACTTAAATACCCCATCAAGTTTTCCATTTTACTCGATGTGGGACTTTAGGCAGCCCATACTATCCAAGTCCCTAACATAGCACCGCCCCTGAGAGCCGACGTCCCGGCGGCTGCACTCTATGATGCTTCACTCGGCGTTGCTTCACTCGGCCTTTCTGATCAGCCCCTCTACCGGTCAGCCCCTCCACAGGTAGCCCTTTTCGTGACGCCGACAACAGCTCTGATACAAATTGTTAGGATCCAAGCAACTTGGGGAACCCACCCTTAAAAGCTAGCTGTTAAGGGAGAAGAACCAAGCTACTTAAATACCCCATCAAGTTTCCCATTTTACTCGATGTGGGACTTTAGGCAGCCCATACTACCCAAGTCCCTAACAAAAGGAGAACGTTGCCATTTTGTTTTAGTATCTGTTTTCTAGTTTGAGCATTTAGGAAAAGATTTGTTCGTATCTATCACAGATTACCCTGTTAAAACAGACAACTGGAGGGTTTGTACACAGTCTGCTCCCCTGTATGTGAAATTTTCTTTTTGGTTGTGTTTGGTTCGACTGAAATTGGAAGAAAGGAAAAAAAAGTGAGAAGAAAAATCACAATTAACTGTTTGGTTTGAAAGAAAAGTAAAAAGAAAAAGGAAACGGGAGAAATTTGGAAGGAAAATGGATTGCATTTTCCTCATTCTGTTTCCTCACTGGGACCTAGTGAAAGCTGGGGAAAATTTCATCGGGATGAAGGGGATAGAGGAAGGGGATGAACTCCCAAGGCATACTCATACGCCGTCACCCATTTTGTTTGTCACCCAATTGATTTTATGTGGGCCCCATATGGCATAGAGAAACGACTATCTTCCTATGTAGGTTTGCTATAAATTAAAAAAAATATCAGTCCCTTGCATCTTTCATTGCTTGAGCTGAGCTCAAATGATTAAATTTTTACCATCTCCTCAAAAAATTTAAGTTAATTCAGAATTGTTCTATGCAGTCATTGAAATTGCCACTAAGTCCCAATTCTAATAGATTGTTTCAAACTAATCTCTCAATTGTTACTTTTACTCTTTAATTGTGGGGACTAACTTCACAGTTCATGAGAATAAAGCGGTCTACAAGCAATTTAAATGAGTTGAAGGACCAATTTTAAAACCACGTAAGAATTTAAGGACCTAATAGCAATTTCAATGAAATGAGATACTCATTTCAAAATATGAAAGATGTAAGGGACTGATATTGGAAATAAAAACTTATTATAAAATTTTGTGAGCACGGGAATATAGTCATTTACTAAACATAGATCTTTTCTTATAAAGGACCAAAAACACTAGTATTGATTTTTATATAGAAATATAAATTTATAAAAATTACTAATATATAGTTTGTACATAACATAAGTTAATTGTAGTTGTTACCTTGGTTTTATTAAACTATTATTATTTTCTTTCCAATTTTTCTTTTCAATTCTCCTCCTAACCAAACAACAAAGAGATTCTTTTTTTTTTACTTCATTTTCTTTTCTTTTCTCTTTCAATTCCATTTTCTTTTCCATTGTTTTGTCTCAAACCAAACACAGCCAGAGTATACATGTCCAGAAATTTATTAATCAGAATAAATATTAGTTTTCTATTAAAAAAGAGAAAATAAGAAAAGAGAGAGAAAAGAGAGAAATACAAAAGGAGTATACGAATACAAGGATACGAATAAGATTTACCAGAAAAATATGGTTGGGATCTATGAATCTAGTTAGCACGCCTTTTTGAGGCAATTGTACTCCAGTGTAAGTCAATATTGCCACAATCTGATAACATGAGTGTTTGCATCTCTAAATTTTTATGGAACAAGTTGTGCGCGGAAGCCAATTGTTTTGCTTCAAGGAACTAAACACAAACGCCGAGAGAGAAAGCCAAACAATGCAAAATAACGGCACAAACACAAACAACCAATTTTAACGTGGTTCGGCAAGTTGCCTACGTCCACAGGGCAAAAAGAGGAGTACAAACTGAAATTATAAATTACCCGAACTTACCAATTAATCTCACCAACAAATCTCTAATTCTCTCTAAACAAAACCCTAACCAATAGCTCAAAAAATACTTCTTTTCTATGCTCCAAATATCCCCAATTCTATCACCAATCAAAGCCAAAAAAACTCTAAAACGTGTGTTGGTATTTATACCAAATACAAATCCCAAACAGAGCAGGAAACCAAGCCCAGGCCCAGACCCGACACACGGTCGACCGCTGCTATAGTCGCGGTCGATCGTGACCAACGACAGAAACTAAAAATCTATTATAAGGTCTCGCGGTCGACCACCGTGCCAACCAAGTGGTCGACCGCCAAAAGTCCATAGACTTTTTCCTGTACTGTGCACGTTTGCGGTCGACCGTCGCGCCACTTGCGATCGATCGTGAAACTTTCAAATGTCTGTCAGCTTCATTTTTCCTGATCTTCTCTAATATTTTTATCGTTTTTATAATTCTTCACCTCGGCGAAGTTTCCCCAAAACTGAGCCGACACCAACCAAACCAAATGTCCCTCTTGTTGCGTCCAGTACGAAGTGAAAACAAATTTACGACAACGGACTCAATCCACAACAAGTCGAAACTCAAATAGAAATGTGATCACTCTTCAAACGTTGGTATCAACTCACCAAATTGGCTGCATCATAAAATGTTTGTCTATGTATCCTCTTGCCTAAGAAATCAAGCCTTCACGTAGTTTACCCAACGGCCTCCAAAGACCCTCAATAAAATAGAAGAGTTATTAACTCTTCACTAACAAATCTGCGGCTGATAGCTCTCTCAATGGCCCCAAAATAAAACAAACTAAACACCTCTAACTGAGATGAACAGACAGCCATATCCAAATCGAAACTATATCCACCAGCTACACTCGAATCAACCAACTCATCATCTGCATCCAAATCTAAATGATTCCCAAACTGTGTCACCTCACCTGGAATCTCAAACGATACAGTATGATCTGAAGTATGTGGAGTAATCTCCATCAAACATGAAGTAGCACCACCATCTACAAGCTGCGATATCCCAACGATTTGATCAATACTCTCCACCTGCCGAGAGTCAAAAGTAACATACTTGCTCAGAACAAAATCAGAGTCTCCCAACTGATAACCAAACGAGCTTCTGTATCCCAAATATGCAATCGGATCAAATCTCACATTCTCGATGTGACCAAATATTAGGCAACCAAACATGCGATGTAACCTAAAATCTGAAGTAGCTCCATCAGGTCTAAAATCTTCACTCATAGCAGTCGGCAACCGATGACTAAGATGACCTAAATATATCGAAGTTTCAAAACTCCTCTGTAACCCAATGCTCGACAACCCACGTCGATCCTCCTCCAGCAAGGAAAGATCCATCAAAACTATCATTGTATGCACGAAAAATTGCGAGACAATCGAGAATTGAATCTGTGTTATTCTCTCTAACTGACTTAGAAAAAGAATGATTACAATCCTCTCAATATAACTTCTCTTTATCAGTTCCCCGATTTACAAAAGAGGGAAGAATGAAACCCTCCCTTTGTTTAAAACTGAGTTCTTTCTTTGTGACGATGGGGGTTTGAATCTTGTATCCCGTTGACGATCCGAGCACTTCAACTTTACGGGCCGTTGGTCTCTTCTCCTTGACTTGATGCCTTAAGAGAATTTGCGAGACAAGTTTATAACCCCAGCCGAGTTTGAGAACTCTCTGTATGAGTATCAAGAACTTGCAAGACAAGTCCGGAATTCTACATGAGTTTGGGGGAACTTGTTTGAACATGTTAGAAACTCTCTGTAAGAGAGTTGAGAACTCTAGCCGAGTTTGAATCCCAAGAAGGATTGATTTTAGAGAAGGGATGAACCTCCAAGAGAACTAACCCAAATGGGTTTAAAGAGCAAGCCAAAAGCTTCAAGAATGCTCCAAGAATCCTCTCCAAGAAGCCCTTTTGATGAAGATGACCTCCTCTTTTTTTGGGCCCCTTTTCTCCTCTTTAATCTCCTTTGTTCAGCCCTATTTATAGGGTTATTAAGGGGTAAGGTACCCCTTAACAGGCCCTTAACAGGCCCTTAACTGTGCTCATACCTTAATGGGACAGTTCTGAAAATAGTCCCTAAGTCAAAATACAATGGTCGCGTTCTAGAGAAAGGGACGCGGGTGAACTCTGCGTCTGGCGACCTCTGCCTGTGAGCTTGGCAACATAGGGCGACCTCTGCGTTTGAGATCTGAAAGCGAATGCCGACCTCTGTGTTTGGGATCTAGAACGCATGGCGACCTCTACGTTTGAGCTTGGCAACGCGGGTACGATCTCTGTGTTTGGGATCTGGAACGCATGGCGACCTCTGCGTTTGAGATCTGGAACGCATGGTGACCTCTGCGTTTGAGCTTGGGAATGCGGGTGTGACCTCTGCGTTTGAGATCTGGAACGCATGACGACCTCTGTATTTGAGATCTGGAGCGCATGGCGACCTCTGCGTTTGAGCTTGGCAACGTGAGTGCGACCTCTGCGTTTGGGATCTGGAACGCATGGCAACCTTTGCGTTTGAGCTTGGCAATACGTGGTGACCTCTGCACTTGAGATTGGCAACGTGAGTGTGACCTCTGCGTTTGGGATCTGGAACACATGGCAACATCTGCGTTTGAGCTTGGCAACACGTAGTGACCTCTGCGCTTGAGCTTGGCAACGTGAGTGCGATCCTTGCATTTTGCCTTGGAAGTGCAGGGTGACCCCTGCGTTTTGAGCTTCTGGGACGCGGAAAAGGGTTTCCACTTTTGGATTTGCAGAGATCGTCAATTGTAATCTCTTTTTTTGACTTTTGTACAAATTATCATCTTGTAATCTTTACACCTGGCCCTTGTGGAATGTGAGAGTCATCAATTTGTAACTCTCGCATGTTGCTGTGAAAGTCTTCACATTGTAACTTTCATTGACTGTTGCGAAGGTCGTCAGATTGTAACTTTTGTTTGTTGACATAAATGACGTCAGATTGTATCTTTCGTCATCTGTTGTTTTGTGGGGATCGATTATCTGTAGTAATTTTTAGACAGCCTACAGTTATCTCATCTCGTCGCCCCAATGTTTCCTTTCCAATGAAGTGTCTCAAACTGCCGTGAGCTTAGCACAAATATAAGAAAGAACCCATACTAAAAACAGAATGACATGTAACCTTTCTGCCAATACACTTCCTCCATAGTCCATATGTTGTTGACTTCTAGGACTTCACACCAACGGGACTTGATTACAACCCACCAATGCCTAGAACAGTCCCTAACTACGGAAGCCAAATACTGATTACCTCTCAATGATACCTCCTTAGAAGGCCCCTAAATGCCTAAATGAACACCACCTAAAAGACCTCTCGATCGATGGATAGAAGTGCCAAACTCTGCCTCGGTCTTCTTTCTCATACAAATGTACTCAAAGAACTTCAATCTGCAGGTTAAAACACTCCTTAATAATCCATGCACAATATCAATACTCGAATATCACAGCCTCAAATCCTTCTTTCTCAGTCATCTTTCTCAAAGCACCAACAAACCAATACGGAACAAACTAAAAGAAAATAGATCCAAACTACGAGAAAGGTAGATTTTTACCTTCAACCGAAACCCTAACAAGAGTCTCTAAAAAATCTCACATTCAACACGATAGAAGACAAGATCCACAATAGTAAAAATCTCACCTTGACCACCAACTGAAACCCTAGACGAGCTTCCAAAGTGATCTACTCCTCCACCTAATCCCCAAGCGTAGGCTGGAGCTCTGATACCACTTGTTGTGCGCGGAAGCTAATATATTGTGCTTTGAGGAACCAAACACAAACGTCGAGAGAGAAAGCCAAGCAATACAAAATAACGACACAAACACAAACAACTAATTTTAACGTGGTTCAGCAAGTTGCCAACATCCACCGGGTAAGAACGGGATGGGGTTTTCACAAATAGAGAAGAAGAGTACAAACTGAGATTACAAATCACTCGAACTCACCAATTAATCTCACCAACAAATCTATAATTCTATCCAAACAAAACCCTAATCAATAGCTTAGAAAATACCTCTTTTCTGTGCTCCAAATATCCCAAATTCTATCATCAATCAAAGTTAAAGAAACCCTAAAACGTGTGTTGGTATTTATACCAAACACAAATCCCAAACATAACAGAAAACTAAGTTTAGGCCCAGACCCGACACCTGGTCGACCGTCGTGCTAGTTGCGGTCGACAGTGGCTAACGATAGAAATTAAAAATCCATTACAGGGTCTCGCGGTCGACCGTCGCGCCAGCCGACGCGGTTGACCGCCAAAAGTCCAGAGACTTTTTCCTGTGTTGTGCACGTTTGAGGTCGACCGCCGCGCCACTCGCGGTCGACCGTGAAACTTCCAAATGCCTATCGACTTTATTTTTTCTAATCTTCTCCAATGTTTTCGCCGTTTCTACAAAACACTCTATTGACGTTCATTCCAAATGTAGAAGGACATTTGACAGGAGATTCACAAGCTTAATTTCCCGAAGTATGAAAGCTGGCGGTGAGAAAGTGCATTGGAGCAATGATTGACTAGACTAGTATCTCATATGCAAGAAGTATATGAGGAAAAGGATATGGATATTGTTCTTGGGATTGTTGTCCCAAAAGGGGCATTTAACATAATGTGACAAACTTATATTGAATAAAAGAAACAAATTATGGTTCTGTTCAACAATCATGAAACATTAAAATAACTGAACGTATGCGTGTTTATTATCAAAAAATATGACTATTTTTCTGCCTTTTCTCAAAGATCTAGGAATGTATATTTGAAGGACTAGATAAAAGCATGATCTGGATGCATTGGACGTGTCTAGTACATAAAACATAACATGGAAGTTGGATGTCTCCTTAAGTAGATAAGTTGGGACAAGAAACAAAATTCTTCATTAGATGGATTATTGAAGTGGATGTATTCGGATGTGAACTATCTTCTCTCATATTTCTGTATATGGTGCAAATGAAGTGCATCCTTGCCCTTTAAAGAAGTATATTCTAATCACTGATATTGCACATCATAGTATGCAATTCAACACTTTGGTAAAAAAGTACTTCATCGGGCTAAGACTTCCAATTAATCACAAAATTTCAAATTTTCTGTCTGGAGTTATTCTTTTGTAGTTAGTATGTTTCATGCATTTCATATCTTGTACGAGATATCATCTCTGTCTGTAACTTAGATTGGTTCAACCCCCTTTAGCTTCAGTTTATCAGTAAGTATAAAGCAAACTGCTATCAGAATACCCTTCCACACACAAAAAAAAAAAAAGAAAAAAGGGAAAGAAAAACTTAATGAGGTTATCTTGATTAAGACATGATATAAACCAATGACTTTTTCAATTTGGCTTATTATTGTTTCTAACATCGTAGCTTGTATTCTCCTTTGCAGTGGCGGAGGACTAGTGGCATATGCTGATTCCAAGTCAGACATTGGTTCTGAATTATCTCAAGCATCTAACAGGAAGAAAGTTGTAGTTCTTGGAACTGGTTGGGCAGGGACCAGTTTTTTGAAAACTCTAGATAGTTCCTTGTATGATGTACAAGTGATATCACCTCGTAACTATTTTGCATTTACCCCTTTGTTACCAAGTGTCACATGTGGAACGGTGGAACCACGTAGTATTGCTGAACCAATCCGTAATATCATAAAAAAGGTATGTTTTTTCCCCTTTTACTGCCTTCATAAAAATCTTGATTATATTGATGAATTACATGTAATAAAACTATAAGATTGTGTAAAATAATACAAACTTAATAAAATTTGAAGATGGAGATTGTAGTGAACTAATACAAGTTCAATGGAAGTTCAAGATGGCGGAAAGTAAGACAAGTTCATGTTATTCTGTTGTACTTGACCAGTGTCTTAATCTATTGCTTGTGGAATCTGGTAATAGCTGAGTAAACATGCCTATGGATACTATGACCATTGGCCGTAAAGATAATGAGATAAGTCTTTTTATTGGTTATTAATTTGATTCTTCACAGGATACTTATTTTACTGTCAACAACTTGGTTCTTAAGTTTGTAATTTTTCATGCAATCTCGTTACGCCTTAATGATACAAATCATTGTTACATGCACACACACACACACAAACACGACAGACAAGTCATTCAAATCCAAACCCACATGCTTATATGCTAATTCTAGATTATTGTTCTTGTGGTTTGGCGTTTCTTTATAGGAATTTTATTTATGTATGAGCTTGACAAATTTCATGTTATTGTTTTGACAGAAAAAGGCAGACATCAAATTCTGGGAAGCTGAATGTTTTAAGATCGACCCAAAGAGCAAGAAGGTTCATTGTCGATCTAATATAGGGACAAACTTAGATGGCACTGGCGAATTTGCAGTAGATTATGACTACTTGGTTATTGCTATTGGAGCTAGGCCAAATACATTCAACACGCCTGGTGTGACTGAGAACTGCCATTTCCTAAAGGTGCATTTTTATTTTTAGCTGAAAAAAATAAAAGAAAAAACATTATATTTTGGTACTAATCGTGTTATATAATACTAACTGTGTTTTGTTTCCACTAGCTTGACTTTTGTATGACATTTGTGTATCGTCCATTCTTTTGTTTACTATACATTCTTATATAATTCATCCATCATCAATCAATGATGTCCTTCAACAGACTGTAACTTTGTGCAGGAAATAGAGGATGCTCAAAGAATTCGGAAAAGTGTGATGAACTGCTTTGAGAAGGCAGCTCTACCTAATCTTAGTGAAGAAGAGAGGAGAAAAACTCTACATTTTATTGTGATTGGTGGAGGTCCGACTGGGGTAGAGTTTGCAGCAGAACTCCATGATTTCGTTTCTGAAGATTTGGCTAAGCTGTATCCTAACATTCGAGATCTAGTGAAAATATCATTGATTGAAGCTGGTGATCATATCTTGACGATGTAAGTGTTTTGCCTTAAATAATATGATTTCAATGCATCGCATCTTTTGTTGTATTTCACTTTCTAAAATAATATTCTGGAGGATATCCTCCTGAATTCTGTCAAAGAAAACATACTTCGCGTATTATCAAGTCATGATTTAAACTGGTTATTGTATGTCTTGTTGTCTAGGTTTGACAAGAGGATTACTCAATTTGCTGAAGAGAAATTTCAAAGGGATGGCATTGATGTGAAAACAAATTTCCGAGTCGTCAAGGTTTCTGATAAGGCCATCACGATGACAAATCCATCAACAGGAGAAATTTCTGTGCCTTACGGGATGGCAGTCTGGTCCACTGGCATTGGTACTCGCCCAATCATATTGGACCTTATGAAAGAAATTGGCCAGGTCCTTCTATACTCACAATCTTTTCGTATTTAAGATTTGTTTGTGAATACTAGTGCTAGGTAAACGTTTTTATATTTTCTTAATCATAATGTTTTCTTTTGTTCAGGCTGGTCGGCGTGTGTTGGCAACTGACGAGTGGCTTAGAGTACTTGGAAGTGATGATGTGTATGCACTTGGGGATTGTGCCACTATAAACCAGCGGAAGGTCTTGGTATGGGAAAAAAAATCAAACCATTTGCATGCTGTGTTGATGATCATTTTTAGCTAGTATCTGTTTTCATTTATTAACCTATAATTCGTATCGTAGAAGAACATCCTATATTTGTAGATTCAGCTAGAAAGAGTGGATCATGTACTACATCTGGCTCAGATGTTCTTGCTAATAAAGGAATTTATAATTTGCTTTCTTTTTTCAACAATTCATCTATCTGAGAGAGTTGGCACAAACCGGAGGTTAAAGACAGAACATGTTGGATAGGATATTATATAATTTAATAATGATGGATATATTTGTTGACATGATTTATTAGTCTAGTTTGCTGCCTTAAGGATTTGGCAGAAATATGTCCCTCTTCAAAAAATTATCCCCGTGTGTTCTGTCCTAATTGTTTGTATATGTGATATTTCCTAACTGTTGCTACGTAATGTCCCCCAAGATGGTTACTCTGCAATATTTTAATTAGCATTTGCTTACTATTCTGTTTCCAGGAAGATGTATCGTCAATTTTTCAGAAAGCAGACAAAAACAATTCGGGAAAATTGACCGTTAGAGAACTCAAAGTTGTTTTAGATGATATAATCGAAAGATACCCTCAGTTGAAACTCTATCTCAAAAGCAAGCAAATGAAAGATATTTTGGATCTCTTGAAGGATTCTGATTTTAATCCTGAAGGTGAATCTGTTGAACTGGACATAGAGCGTTTTAAGAGAGCCCTTGCAAATGTGGATTCACAAGTCAAGATGCTTCCTCCAACAGCTCAGGTCAGTTTATGATGATAAGTATTCCATGTAACTGGACTAAATAGGTGTTTGTATCTAATGGTTTAAATTCCATTAGCAGTAGGTGATGATACATTCTTTATGCTTTTCATGTTAAATGATGCTTTAGGTTGCGGCACAACAAGGAACTTATCTTGCCAAATGCTTAAACAAAATGAAGCAATGTGAAGAAAATCCTGAAGGTCCTCCTCGTATTAGAGGACAGGGACGTCATCGATTTCGCCCCTTCAGGTACTTGTTCTATCTTTCCCCTGTTTCTTCTTGGATGTGTTTCACCTATGATTCTGGTCAGTTTTCCATCTTCTTTGTGACCACTTCTAATTTTGGTTAATTTGTCTATGTTCTACAACCTCTGAGATTTACATAGTACTAGTTGTTTTATATCAGCCCAGCTATTACTTGTGTGTCGGAATTAGAAGTTACTACTCTTGCGTAGCTATTGGCTTCCATAGCATTAACGTCATCTGAGTGCATGATATTGGTGCAAGATGCCATCTAATATAATGTGTTTCTGGTATTTGTCTAATTGCAGTATGGTTGTCAATGGTTGTTCTCTAGTGTGAAGTTCAGTGTCGAGTTTTATTGTGAGCTTCAAGTGTGGTTTCTATTGTGAGTTAATCACTCGACATTTCAAAATAAAAAGATAATTGGGTGACATACATGTTACATACCTGCAGTGTTTTAAATATCGGCCGACATGTCGGCCGACATGTCGGATTTAGGGTCCAGCCGACACGATATGAAGATTTTCAATGCGTATTGTGTTTTTAGGGTTCATGTCGGATATATCGGGGGATATGTCGGATATGTCGGGCGGATATGTCGGGTGATATGTCGGTTATGTCGGCTGATTTTTTAATCTGAAAAATTAGATGGTTTTTTAAATTTTTTGGTTATGTTTGTCTAATCAGGTTTGAGTTTAAATTCTTGATTATCTTAATATTACTTTCAAAGACAAAAACCGATAAGTTAAGGGAAATGGAAAAAAGATCGAAGTAATATCCGTCTCTTATCTTCTCTCTCCTTCGACATCTCATCGATCTCTTCTCCGAGCTCTTCCTTCGACATCAATATCGGGCGATCTTCTCTCTTCTTAACCGCTAATATCGAATTTCTCACCTCTTTCCTTCAACATCAACCCTAAGCATCATAAGTTATTTACTCTTTTATATGTTTAGACAATAGAATTTTTTAAGTGTATTTAGATTTTATTTATGATATTTATATTACACATATGCACACCATCCGATGTGGCAATCCGATATTTTTTTCATGTCCTCCGATATATCCCTGATTTCCGCTATCCGACATGAATTTTAGCCGTCCGACTTGAACCCGACATCCGACATTTAAAATCTTGCATACCTGCACCAATTACTTAGTTTAGAAAGAGTGGACTCCAAAATAATGCACAGGAAGGCATGTTTCTGCTTTGGTATCAGTTAATGATCTCTCAAGCTCAACAAACTCCACAAACCTCCTTTTCTACAACAGACCTTTATCTCATACTTTTGGCTAAGTTCTGTGAACACTCTTCTGTTACTTGGCTCTGTTGAGGACCATCTCCTTGTTTCACATCTATTGGCATCCTTCTTTTTGCCTTCATCCATATTCTTTTAGACCACCTCGTTGCCTTTGTGTTAGTATCGGGTGTAGACACAAACCGTCAGGCGGGCCACTGGCGAGCTCAGGCGAGGTCGAAGGCAAGGTCAGGCGAGCTCGAGCGGGCTTCAGGCGAGGTCCAGGTTTAGCTGCAGGCGAGGTCGGCGCTTCAGGTGAGCTCGAGCTCCTGCAGGCGAGGTCGAACCTCATTGCAGGCGAGCTCCTCCAGGCGAGGTCAAACCCCCTTGCAGGAGAGCTCGAGGGCTTCATCCGAGGTCGATGCTGACAAGCGGAGTCGAGAGCGGGCGAGCTCGATCCATGCGAGCTCAAGCGAGGATCTGCAGACTGCAGGCGAGCTCCAGCGACATGTTGTCGCCAGCTTGTCGCTAGAGTTTCCCTATAAAAGGGACACCCAGAGAACCTCTCTCAGTGGCTTCTTCTTCTCTCTCTCTCTCTCACGCGATCTCTCTTCTCTAGCGGCGGCGTCCCTCCTTTTTTTCTCCTGCTCTTCTCTTTCTCCAGCTCGATTTTGAGGGATTATTCAAGAAGGTAATAGTTGATTTTGAGGGAGAGAATTAAAGAAGAGAATTATTATTGTAACTACAGTAATAATTAGCATTTATTGAGAGATCTCAAATTTGAGATCTGCTCTTGCATTATATTTTTTTGATTAATAAGAAATTAATTGTGTGGCTCCCGAGGACGTAGACAAGTTTGCCGAACCTCGTAAATCTTAGTGTATTTTTTTATTCTGTGTTTCTTGTTGTTTTAGGGGTTTAGCGTAGCCCCGGGTATTCCCCAACAACTGGTATCAGAGCCTGAAACGATCTAGAGGAAGTCAAATTCAAGTGGGAGCGATGGCCGCAGATGAAGAAAATATGAGATTAGAGAAGTTTGATGAATCAGATTTTGGATTCTAAAAAATACAAATAGAGAATTATCTATATCAGAAAAATCTGTATCAACCTCTCTCAGGGAAGAAGCCGGAGGGTATGAAGGAAGAAGATTGAAATCTTCTACACAGAAATGCCCTCGGGGTTATTCGTTTGACGTTAACCCGCAATATTACTTTTAACATTGCAAAGGAAAAGATCACGACGGTTCTTATGGCAACGCTCTTAAATATGTATGAGAAACTATCAGTCTTAAACAAAGTTTATTTGATGAGACGGTTATTCAATCTACGAATGACAGAAGGTACGGTAGCACATCATCTTAATGAACTCAATACAGTCACGACCAATTGAGTTCAATTGATATTGAGTTTGATAAAGAAGTACGAGCGTTGATCCTTTTGTCTTCCCTACCGGAAAACCGGAATGCTACAGTCACATATATGAGTAGCTTGTCGGGAAACAACAAGTTGAAGTTCGATGATATTCGTGATCTGGTTCTCAGTGAGAAGATTCGACGGAGAGAGTCGGGTGAAGCTACAACCTCTTCAGTATTGCATACAAAATCAAGAGGTAGAAATTCAACCAGAGAAAATAAATCAGAGGATAGGAGGCCCAAATCCAGGAATCCCAGCAGCTCGAAGGCTATCGAGTGTTGGAAGTGCGGGAAAACCAAGCACTACAAGAATCAGTGTAAGAGTGCACAGAACGAGTGGGAGGCAAAGGCAGATGCAAATGTTGCTTCCACCTCAGGAGGAGATGATGCATTGATGTGATCTTTGGAGAGCAAGGAGGAGTCTTGGGTGTTAGACTCTAGAGCATCATTCCATGCTACTTCTCAGAAAAATTCCTCGAGAAGTGTATCCCGAAAAACCTTAGAAATGTATACCTTGATAATGATCAACCATATGCTATTATTGACATAGGTGTAGTGAAGATTAAGTTGATTGGGTCAAATATGGGAGCTGAAGGATGTCAGGTATATTCCCGACCTAAAAAAAACTTAATCTCAGCAAGCCAACTGGCTAGTGAAGGCTACACTATGACTTTCCAAGGTGATGATTAGAGGATTTCAAAAGACACAATGACGATTGCCCGAGGTAAGAAAACTGGTACCATGTATATGATAGCAGATGCACGTTGTTTGATCTTAGTTGTAGCAGGCGATGAGACTTTAAGGCTGTGGCACCAGATACTCGGTCATATGAGTGAGAAGAGGATGAAGATCATGCACACAAAGGAAAAACTCCTAGGTCTAGAATCAGTTGAATTAGACATGCGTGAAGAATGCATATTTAAAAAACAGAAGAGAGTCAGCTTTCAGACAAGTGACAGAACCCCCAGGAAGGAGAAGCTTGAGCCTATTCACTTAGATGTTTGGAGACCAATAACCATCACGTCCATTGGTGGGAAACATTACTTCGTGACTTTTATCGGTGATCACTCTCGGAAAGTATGGGTATACTTTATGAAGCATAAGTCAGAAGTGTTGGAAGTTTTCAGGAGATGGGAAGCAATGGTTAAGAATAAGATCGGTCTGAGAATAAAGAAACTTAGAACAAACACAATAATGGTGAGTATGAAGACACCAGAATCAAGGAGTTCTACTATGAGCACGGGATCAGAATGGAGAGAACCGTGCCTGACACACCTTAGCATAATGGTGTGTCTGAGTGCATGAATAGAACGTTGACAGAGAGAACCAGAAGCATTCGGATGTAGTCAGGTCTACTGAAGCAGTTCTGGGCAGAAGCAATCAACGCAACAGTTTATTTGATCAACTGAGGTCCATCGGCTCCATTAGAGTACAGAATATCATAGGAGGTATGGTGCGAAAAGGATATAAATCTCTCACATCTTAAAGTTTTCGATTGTGTAGCTTATGTGTATATTAGTGATCAAGGCAGGAATAAACTTGATCCCAGGTCTAAGAAATGCACATTCATCGAGTATGGTGAAGATGAGTTTGACTACCGCATTTGGGATAACAAAAACAAGAAGATGATCAGGAGCAGAGATGTGATATTCAACGAGAAGGTAATGTACAAGGACATGCACAAGACAGATGACTCAGAGAGTGAGTCAACATTTGTAGATGCAGATGATGTCTCGAGTAACCTCTCGGAAGAACCCAATGCAGAAGGTCCTTAGCTAGAAAAACCTATTGGACAGAACAGTGCGCAGGAGCCCGACGCCAGGATTATTGAGACGCGCGCCCTGGGCGTGTCCCGGGCGCGGGGCGCTTCGGCCTGGGGGAAATGCGCCCTGCACGCGAGGCGGGGCGCTGCACGCAGCGAGGCGCGCGCCTCGCGTGCGCCTCACGCGCGCCTCACATGCGCCTCACACCTGCGTTATGTAACATACTCTCTTTTATTTTTTTTAAAATAATTTACATAATTATATATTTATATCATGTAATATATTCTTTCTTACTAGTTGCTAATCTATTTTTATCTTTTCATGTTTAACCTATAAAAAGGAAACAATAATTAGTAATTTAGTATACTTGTTTGCTAATTGTAACTTCCTTCTATAATTAGCATGCTAACTAGCAAATTATGAATAAATAAATATGTAATTGTTACATTCATTCTTCATCTTTTTATGCTAAGTAGCAAATATCAATTAAGAATACTAACTAGAAAATTATGAATAGTCATGTTTGTTAATTATATTTCTTAGTCTTTTTATGTGACAATTTATAAACATATGCTCATAATTGTTAATCACTTAATTTGATGATTTAAATACATGTTTCTTGTATCTTTTTTGTTACTTTAAAAATCCAGTTAGCATAATTTGATGATTTAAGTTGATATTCTCATAATTTTGGATATAGGTAACTAATATGTTGCTTATATGTTTCTGTCTTATGATGTTGGTAAATATTAGTTTGAGTTATGCGTTTTAATTAGTGAGGCGCGCGTCTCGTTGTGCGCCTTGCGCATGGTGCGCGTAAGGGATCTTTGCGTTCCGTATTGCGCCTTACGTCTCGATAACACTGTCCGACGCACCAACTCCGATATTGAGAAAATTTTCTCATCCTCCTATGCCTAACAACAGATGCATGAATTATATGTTGCTGACAGATAGAGAGAAGCCTGAAAGCGATGATAAAACTTGTCAGAGTGGAGATGCGAGCAAGTGAGAGCTTACCATGAAAGAAGAGATAAAATCTCTGATCTCCAACTAG